GTGCCAACTCTGGAATTTAATGCGCTCTCCCTCTTTCTTAGCCTGACCCACAGCACACTGGCTTTGGCTTTCATTTGGGTACTGTGACCTTGCTTTGGCATGGAGCTTTTGATGATGACTTTCCCAGAGTATCTGCAATAGAGAAGGTTTTTTATTTTGTTTGTTTGTTTTAATGCAAGTGGACTTAGTTAATCATTTTTGTGCTGCTATCCCAGTTGTACATGCAGCTGATCAGTTAGAAGCTGGATTTGCAAATGCCGTGCATTCAGCCTGTGTGCTGGGGAAGAGTTTGTATTTCTGGATTCCTCACTTTTATGATCCTGAGGGATCAGGTTCTGAGCTGACTGAGCAGTGCAGGTGGTAGCACCAGGACTGGGACTGTGCCAGCACTGGGAGGAGAAGTCCAGGCAGGTGTTGGACCATTCCACTTCTTCCCAATCTCTTCAGATGGTCTCCTTACCCACGTCTCCAGTGGTTCTTACATGGTTTTGGTAATAGTGGAGACTTCTTGCCACTCGTTGGAATCGCTATCCTGTTGGTTTACAAAAGCTGAGTTTCAAGCCCCAGTGACAGTTCACAGAAGCTTGAAAGCATTAATGTTTCCACCTACCCAGGATGAGGATATTCAGCTGATGTCTAGGTTAGTAGGGCGTTTTCTGGAGTTTTGGGAGACTGCAAAGCACAAGCACAGGTGAGCAGTCTGGAACAGCTCCTGTCCAAGGACAGAGCAGCTGGATGTGGATCCTGCTGTGTTTGTGGGAAGAAAGGACAGTAGAAGGGGCATGGAAGAGATCTGTAGAGTCAGGACTGGCATGGAGAAAGAGGATGGGGAAAAGCTGTTCACTCTTCTAGCCCAAGAACTACAGGGCATCAAGTGAACCCAGGAAATGGCAAGTTTAAAGGCAAACTGAAGGAGATGGCTTGTCACACAGCACATGTTTCAGCTGTGGAGCTCTTTGGCATGTGCAGTTATGAATACTACAAATTTGCTTGGATTAAAAAATGAGTTGGATAAATTCTGGAAGAAAAAATCCTTGGATGGATATGGAGATGGGTACAGAGAACCATTAAATGCACAGATACCTCTGGCACAAGAAGCCCCTGAGTTATTCATAGCACATGCCATGACTCTGTCCCAGGAGATACGATGGTCGAGTGATCCTGCAACCGGTACCCAGTGCCAGGCAGCCTCTGTTGGGAATGAGATCCTGGCTTTGGACGGACGCTTGGCCTGACCTGGCATGGCTGTGCTGTGCGTGTCCCTATCCTGCTGCTGTCACTGACCTCCTGAAACACTTGTTAGGGCAGTACTGAGAAATTGGGATTACTTGAGGATATGTGACCCTTCAAATGAAATATGTGTCAGTGCAGTCAGTTCTGAGACGAGGCCCATTGGCTCGAACAAATACATTGGCTCCAACATATCCTGAAACATTCACCCCTAAAAATAATCAAGGGGTCAGTGTGAAACTCAGAATGTAGTTTTAGTGCAGTGCTGAGGCTGAAGTTAGTGACTGCAGCACTTCAGGTGAGAACTAGGTGTAATAAAGGGTGTTACCTGCCTTGCAAAGACTGTTCAACCACTCAGCTGTACACCTGTGTCCACATTCAGTCTCACCATTAACCTCCTGCCTCTTGTGTCCATACCCCGGTCTCTCCTGGGCGCTGGGACCGTCAGAGAATCGGGCCCTGCCAGGGCAAGCGCTGCGTGTTTCATCTCATCTGTTTGTCAGGTTTGTTCTTGGCCACTCCAAATGCAGCCGTGTAGCTGGGAATGCTGAGCAGCTCTGTCTTCACTGCACTCTTTTATCAGGAAATGGATGTTTTTAGTAAGTGAAAAGGGTCAAACTGCTGGAAGTGTTTTCTCCTGAGTTAAGTACTCTGCAGTCGCACTTGAAACTCACTTGGTTTTTGAATACTGCATGCAGTTACACAATTATTATATGTGCATTTTGATGCTTTGCTATTTTCCAAGAACAAGGGAGACAACCTATATTTAGATGGCAAATGCCTGTTTTACTTATTGTTTGACATCATTCTGAGGCAAGGTAATGCTTTCTGTAATGCTGGGCCTTTTTTTAGTACTGCATTCATACAGTGTCTGCTTTTAAAGATCTTGATTTCTGTTTGCTGTGCCCTCAAAAGAGGGTGGGACATGTAGGTTCAAACCCTTCAGGCAGAGGGAAATGTTGAAGTAGGGTCCCAAACCTTTTCCAGAAGGCTTTAAAGAACTCTTTAACTGCTGAAGTTCAGGAGAAAGCAGTCTGTTGCCTCTGTTAGCTGTGTGAATCTCTTCTTGACATCTTTTTCTTGCCTCTAAAGTGCAAAGTTGAGTTGACTTTGGGGATATTCATAAGGCCACAGGCTTGACCCCATGTGTGTGCATGCTCTGCCCTCTTCTTTGCATGTGGGGTGTGTGCACACTGCTGGAGGTCCCCATGCTCTCGTAGGTGTGGGTGACAATGAAGCTGGCGTGCTGGATATGTGGACATCCCTGTGTGTGGCAATGTAGGAAGGGGGACTGGAAAGTGTTTGACGGGGTTGTTGCAGCAGCTCTTGGGCAATGCAGGAGTGATTCACTCAGTGCCTCACCGTTTGATAACGCTGTGAATCTTACACACACTCGTCTGCCCTACACCCAGAGCACCCGCTCACAAAGGCGGCTCTGTAGGTGGACGGGAAGGAAGTTGAGTGGTGTCTGCTCATTGAAGAGATGCTGGAAAATGAAGAGCTGCCAGTTCAGAGGCTTTGAATTGCCCTCGAAGGCACAGAAATGAGGCTCTTGAGTTGTGTAGTGAGAGGCACGTGTGAAATAGGTTGTGTTTGGTCACACTGTCCTCTGTCCTCTTGGCTGGTCTCTGATTAGAGCATCTCAGAAAGACCTGGTGCTCTTTGCATCGCACCAAGGGAGTTTTTCAGGTATGAGAAATCTGATTTGCTTTCTGACCTCGCCACGAAGATGAGTTTGCCTATTTTGTATGCAAGACAAAGCTGTCTCATAGTGGATTTACCCTTACCAAGAGCAGGTGGGACTCCCCCTAATACTCTTGCTACTCTCATAAGAAGTTAGAACAGACGCATTTAGTCAGCCCTGCGGCTCGGGGTGGAGGGAAGGAAGGAACTGTGTCCCTCTAACGTAGGGCACTGTGCCTGTACACACAGGGCCGTGGTGCATGTACGAAGGGCATGTCTGTACAGGCTCGATCATGGATTCCCAGACTTTTGGGGGCCTGTGGTATTTGCTGAAACCCAACCTTCATCCACCTACAGCTGAGTCTTCCCTTTCTGTCGTTCCAGCTCAGCTGAGCGCGGCGCTCCTGGCAGCCAGCCCAGCTTGCAGGACTGAGCTAGCAGCTGGTCTCCAGCTCCTTTTAGATGAGATTCTCCTCTCCTAACCCAGTCCAGGTCATCTCCCACTCCCTTTTGTTGACCTGTTTCCCCCCCCGCTGTGTCTCTTTTGCAATAATAAGCTTCACCATTTGTGTGGCTCCCTTTCCAGAGCAGCTGCAGGAATATGGGCTGCTGTGGGAATATGGTGGAAATGCCATGAAAAGCAGTATGTGTTTCTGAGAACCAGTGCCTAATTCAGACTGGGAAGAACCTTCACAGGTTGTCTGGCTCGGCCACTGTGCAAAGCAGGGCTAATTCAGGCTGCTGAGGGCCTTGTTTAATTAAGTGCTGACTGTGTCCAAGGATGGAGGTCCCACTGCCTCTGGTCCTGTCCTAGGGCTTGGCCCCTCTGAAAGAAGAATTCCTGTCTTGCATCTTAGACTTACTGTGCATTCAAAATAAGCTGACTATGTGAATATTGTAGGAGCACTGAGTTTTAGTGCAAACAGTGAGTTTTCTCCTGCTCCCTTTCAAAATGTGTGTGCCTGCAAAGGTAACTGGATGCTTATTCTATCTGTCCACCATGAGGAGGGGAAGAGGTTGTTGATTTTTGTGCCCCATAGGATCTGTGGCTTTGGACAATGCAAGGGAGGAGCTGGGAGGGAGTTGGATCTTTTGTCCCATTCAGCACACGTGCTTCCCATGGCTAGCTTGCGTTTGTGTGTGTGCTAGGAGAGGAAGAAATATGGGCTTGTAGAATAATTTAGGTTGGAAGGTACCTGTGGAGGTCTCTGAGCTGATCCCCCTCCGATGAAATCTATTTTCTTAATTGTTTCTCTGTGAAGAAGGTGCTCTGCCAGCCTGGAAGTATGTTCCCTGTTCCTCTGCATGCAGCCTAAATGGGAGGAGAAAGTTGCAGTATAGCAGAGTGGGCAAGATGACAGGGAGTTGCTCTGGTTAGTTTGGTGTTTTGGCAACACAGTGGTTTTTATTTAAATACCATATCATTATTATTTATGTATGAAAACCACTCTTGGTTCAGGATTAATGCCAGTTCTCTAATGTTCATGCTGCACCTCGATTACTCTGTGCACTGTGTCGTGTTTCTAGAACATGACTACATCTAAAGGTGATTAGAACCAGCAACGAGGAATGGCCATTTGCTAACTGCTGAGTAGTAGTTAGGTAGGACAGTGTGGTGCTTGGCTTTGGCTGGGCAAGGGTGCCTGTGTGAGTCAGAAGCTGTTTTGAAAGGCAGGTCAGTGGCTTTTGGTACTGCAGTTACTTAGCTGGCTGGACTGGATCCAGATCTCATTAAGATTTAATTCATAACTGGTTCTTAAGGAATCTAGATCTCACAGCAGTCTCAGCAAATCTTAATAGGAGGTGACTCTCAAACTTGTGACTGCGGTCTCTGGCTCCTGGCTTGAGGTCCTGCAGGCCTTAGAAATGCCCTGTGTCCTCTGACTGCCTGGTCCTGGCTGACCAGCGTTGACAGAAGCTGTGGTGCCTGGACCCTCACGAGGAGCTTGGGAAGTTGTCCTGTGTGGGGCGTGGGTCCCTCAGCCACAGCCTGCAGGAGGGGGCTCTGCTTGGCCCTGCTGTCATGCGCTGTGTTGGGAATGAGCCTGGCCCCCTCCCAACTGCGATTTCTCCTCTCTCCTAGGCCTGAGGACAAACGGGGGACGATGTCGGAGGTGCGACACGACAGCACGAGCAGTTTACAGCGGAAAAAGCCACCATGGTTAAAACTGGACATCCCGGTGCCAGTGCCGGTGTCGGTGCCAGAAGAGCCCCAGCCCGTGCAGGTACAGAGGTTGGGGGCAGGAGGGAGGGTCTGTGGAGCTGTGGGGGGGTTTGTGCAGAGCCTGTGCCCGTGGTCTCCAGCAGTCCTGGCTGAGAGAAAGGCAGCGTGCGATGGCAGGTCACAAGGCCCTGTGAGAGGGAGCAGAGCCATTGGGTAAATGTATGATCAGTAATTAACTCCCCCTTGAAGGGGATGTGGGAAGGATGAGGGTGGGTTGCTGATGTGCTCAGATCAGTGGACGTGACTGTTTGGATGTGGGGGATTGTGAAAAGTGTCCTGGCTTGGGGA